TGGGCTCCATGGGAAAGAGTGGATTGAGTGATTAGTGATGTCTGCATGGTTGGGGACAGAAAAGCCCCAGCACGTGCTGTGTTGGTTCTCTTAGAACCTAAACATCAAGCACAGCCAGGATGAATGTGGGCTGTTACAGTAGGGAGAGAACTCACACAGGGATGGGCTTTCCAGAGGTTACTGGGACACGACTAGGATGACTTGGAATAAAGGAAAAGGCATCTTTCTGGGAGTGATTCAATTGTGAAACTAGGTTTCAGGCAGATGCACTTTATTTTGGGTGTTTTTATTTTCCTCATCAGCAGTTGTATGAGGGCTCTGTGAAGCCATCTGCCTAGCTTGTTGCTACCTGCTAGATTTAAGGCTTCTGGAGAAGTTGTAAGGCGGTGTGACAACCCTCCCTGACTTTATTCATGGTAAACAAACTTTTAAAGAGCAAACCTACTTAAGACTCATGAAACAGCGTTTTACTGTGAACACTCTCACTAGTTAGAAGTAGCTTCCTAGAACAGTGTTAAGAGGGATTCTGAAGCTGTACATAAGCTCTGCAGGAACGTGTGCTGCAATTGATTAACAATGTCTGCTGAGGGACCTGGAATGGGAACAAAGTACACACTAAGTGTATTGGCTTCCAAAGAGCCAGCTCATTGCCTCGGAAGAAGAACTGATGAGGAGGAAAGATACTTGCCACAGGCTTCACCTTACCCTGGGTTCCTCTGATACTAATGTGCATATCTTTTGGACTGGTTTTCCTATCTATAGAGAGGTTGGACTCTTCTTCCTGCACGAAGGAAGGAATAGAATTGAGACTGACTCAGGAGTGGTGGGCTGCACTCAAAAGTACATGGGTCTAGGGTCTGATGCTACACAGGCCACTCAGCCCTGTGATGGATGCCCCTGCACCCATCCTCCTCCAGCCTTTCTATACTAGGTGACCCTATCCAGAGCCCCAATTCTTCAGCCACTGCTATGATCTCTCCTATAATCACCTTTTCTGGAAAGGGCCCAATATAAGGCCCCTGTGCCCATATAAAGTCATTTCCATTACAGGTGTTATTTTTAGGGACTAGGGAGTCTGCCGAGACTCCCTCTCCTAGGAGGGCTTCTCAATGCCTGAAGAGTGAATCACAGATAGTGGGAGGGAGGGGAAGTGACACTTGTCTTCTTATCTGTAAAATGGGGTAATGAGAGAGCCGATCCTGCTGGGAAGCTGGGAGGATCAAGTGTGCTGCACTTTGCTGCACATACACATGATAGTCCTGTTACAACTGAGATTATTACTAGGGGTGGGCCGTCTGCCTGGTAACCTGCAGAATTCCCCCCTTGAAGGTGGCAGCTGAGAACTTCTGTTCACCTGGGCCCACAAAATAGATTTGGCTACTTATAATTCCTCCCCCACCCCCACACCCCCTACCCTTCCCCCGGCTGCTGTCAGCTCTAGTTGTCATCTGATTTTCTCCATTTGGGACATTCCAGTGTCTTTCTTCACAGCAAGCAAGTCAAATAACAGGCAGCTGGAGTGCTCATTAAAGGTCCCAGACCTGAGAGAGGCACGGATGGGGGAGGGGTGCTCAGGTCCAGAAACTGGACTCCTGGTTCCCCACACCTTCCGGCTGCTGATCCGCCTGACCAGTGTCATTGCCCCAGCCTGTCCTCCATGCCTGTTCCCTCTCCCTCCTCCTGGCACACACATTCAGCCTCTGTCCCCAGCTTGCTTCGAGTGCCCCTGCCTTCCTACCCCATGCCCTTTGTCCAACATCCAGGTGTGGCCCAGACTCATCTGCCCCAGCCCCTGGGGCTCACTGGGTCCTGAGTTTGGCCTTTGCTGGTGGCACTTCTCTGTGTCTCCCAGTAGCTGCCATCCCCACGCATGTCAGAGAGGAGACCTAGCGTAACTTAGAGGGCTTGCTTGTGGCCACATGGCTGGCACAGCCCCTAGAACCCTAGGTCTGGTCCCCTGAACTCACCAGCTGCCTGTGTCCCCATGAAAGAGGGGACACTCTGCACAATCATGATTGACAACAAAGCCGCATGGCCTCTCTCCTCCACCTGTCCCTCTCCTCACCTGCTCCTGCCTAGCCTCCAGGCCTTGCCTCACCCCTACAGTCCTCCACTCTTTGCTCAGATCTAAAGACACTCCTGGGAAGGGAGAGGCCAAGGGTAGCTTCCCTTAAGTGGCTTTGGGGACACCTCTGCAGGACTAGAAGCTGCCCCTGGAACAGTGTCATCGGAGAGGACTTCCTGCAGCAACAGATCGGGCATAGGATCCACTACCCTGCCCAATGTGGCACGCACTAGCTATCCTGGCTGCTGAGCCCAGGAAGCGGGGCTTGTGTGACCAAGGAACCAAAATTTAAATCTTAGTTAATTTAAAATAGTTCACATATAAGGAATCACATGTGCTGTATGGGATGCATGTGACCCCAGAGTGTCCCTCTGGGAGCCCCCGGACTATAGGCCCCACACCACATAGTCCATGCCTCTGCCCACAGGACTGTCCTCCCTCTGACCCCCTTTCCCTACCAACCTCAGGTTCCAGGCTATGGCCCCATGTCCATTCCTCTAACCCCTACCTGTGTTTCTGCCAGACTTGGTCGTGGCCCCTGGGATTCCAGCAGCCTTCAGTCCAGCCTCACTCATTTGCCCACCTTAAGCTCTCATTCAAGGAACATAAATGCACTTTTCAAAACCCTTCAGTGGCTCCCTATTACCCTCATGTAGATCTAACTGTCTCTAAGCCCCCTCTCGACTTGGGCTACCCCATTCTCTCCAGCCACATCTTCCACCATCTTTCTCCCCAGCTCCCAAGGTCTCGGACTTTTCTTCCACCCAAGACAAACCTCTCCCTCTGGTTTCACACTCCAGAAGCTGACCCTCTGGCCCTTAGGACAAAGCCCCACATTCACCGCCTCTGCCTGGCAAACTCCTATTTACCTTTAACTACTCACCTAAAGATCACTTCCCCTGGGATGCCCTTCATGACTGCCACCACCAACAGACCACAGTGCATGTCTTATATTTCCCTGGCCCCTCTTTTTCCATTATAGCTGCATTTTCCTTGCAACGTAGACATGGCCCATTTTCTTTCTGTGTCCCATTTGATATTGACATGCAGGAGACAGAAGTGTGTCTCCCACAGTGTCTGGCCCCTGGCTGGCTCTTAGTCAACACTGGTAGGACACAAAGGGAAGAGCACTGTGCACAGGGTCTGTGAATCCGGGTTCTGATCGCTGATCCCATCATGTGACCCTGAGCAACCTACTGACCTTCTCTGGGCCTCAGATTTCTCAGATTTTAAAGTGGGGGTCACTTCAGATGATCTTTGGGGGTGACTTAGTACTGGCAAATGAGGAGGTCCAGAAATGAGCAGGGTGAACCTGCTGCTACTGTGAGGAGAGGGTAAAGCATTCAGCCCCTCACCCTCCGAGCAGAGAGAGGCGGCTGGGCAGGGCTCACCTTGACCTTTGCAAGGGTGGCAAGTACCTAAGCTCCAGGGTCAGATGCCCATGCAGGCACTGCCAGGGCCCCTAGGCACCAGGAGGTGTGGATCCCCTCTTCCCTGCTAGCCAGTCCCCTCTGCACACTCAGCCAGCCATGGAGGCCTCTGCTCCTCCTGCTGCACCTAGAGGCTGCCCCAGGCCCTGGGGACCAACGGGACAGGTTCCCTGGGGGCTGGTGGGCGTGGGAATGAGCTGAGGGCAGCTGCTGTGGGGCAGCGATAACACCGGTCACTGCCCTGCTGTGCCCTCTCTGACCCGGCTCAAGCCCTTTCCTTCCCTGAACACCCTGAGGAATCAGGAGGGCCAAGAGGCCCTTGACAGAAGCCTGGCTTTAGGGAGCCAGTGTGTCTGCCCTGCCAGAATGCCCACAGCACCCACCAGTTAGAGCTACCACCGGCAGCAGCATGCTGTAAACTCAGAGAGGTTAGAGTAGTAGCCCCAGCTTGTACAGCTTCCAAGTAGCAGTGCGGATAAAAATCCAGGTAGCTGCAGGCCATTGCCCTGCTCTTCACAGCTCCACCCCACCTCCTGCTAAGTCAGAGGCCTTTCCACAAGCAACTCTCCAGTCCAGCCTGCTGGAGGAGCTGACTCAGGCTCTCACCCGCCTGTCCTCTCTGCTGGGCCTGGGCCCTCTGTACCACCTCCCCACCCCACCCCCGTCTCTCTAAATGTCCCCAGGCCCCACCCTGTCAAGGCCCAGCCTTCCTTTCCTCTGGTGGTACAAGGAGACCGCATGCTCTCCTTCCTGGGGACGGTGGCGCCTTCTCGGGCAGTCCTAAGATTGCCAGGGCTGAGAGACACACTACTAGCGTCCCGCCCACTTAGGGTAAAAGAAAGCTCAGCATCCTCTTTCCAGAAGGTGCTGGGGACCATTCCAGAGGCGCCCGAGTAGAAGACCCAGGTGAGGATCAGGAAAGCATGGCCTCGCTTGTGCCACAGGAGAGCAGAGCCAGGCGACCCACATTCTGGCCCTAGCGGCTTAGGCAGCAGCCAGGACCAGGACGCCGCTTCCAGCAAAGACTGCGCCCTCTGCCCCAGCAGGGCACACTTGGCCGATCCCTCCTCCTCTCCCG